GTTCCTACCTCATTTACTCAACCAGGCTATCCTTATCCTGCACCTTATTTCCCTTGCATACTGTGCCCGTATCCTTAAACGTATATGTAATGGCAGAAGCAAATGTAACCAACAAGAGCGAGGAAAAGAATGCATGTCATCAGAGGTCGAGTCTTTGGAGCGGACCAGAAGCGCATCACAAATCTCCTACGGCGTAATTGGGCTGTCATGGTAACTATGTCAGGGACTATGGATGGCATGCACTCAGCAGCGATCATCGTTACACATGACCGATCACAAATATGATTGATCGTGACTACTGATGACAGTGAAGGTCAAGCGACAATAAAAGACATAGACCACTTTAAACATCAACAGAGAAAATGACAGCCGATGTCATGGAGACGACGAAGTAGCTTGAAGTCAGGGATGTGTAAAAAAATAATAAACTTCGAGGTTGCAAAATTTCAACAAAAAAAGGGCTATCAACGCTGAAAAAATACACTGTAGAGTCAATATATTATAACTAACATATCCTACATGAGACTATTTATGTAGAGCCTGTGTGATAACAACTAGCTACCAACGCTAAAATTAAAATAATTTGCTGCGGAGCCAGTCTGATAGATATTTGATACTGATGCGATTTAAAGGGAAACTGAATTACAAAACTTTTAGGATAAATTGCAAAACAGTTGAAATACTCCGACCTTTCAAGGAAACAAATCTAAGTAACCGTTATTCGTTCAGCAACAGGCCTTGACTCGGGTGTTATTAGCGTTTCAGGTCATAATGAAGAGGTCACGCTCGGAACTCGCTGTCAAAGAAGGAAATGAGACCATCAAAAGGTCGGATATCTTCACTGAGTCTGTGATGAGCAGAGCTTCCAGGCGTCGTACACCTGATCGATGGAAGCATGACAAGACACTTGATCTCGAGACTTGACTAAACAAAGACGTTTGCGGTAGCGCACTAACTTCCGAGTCATGGCGGAATACGAAACCATTGATGAAACGCGTCAACAGGTTACAATTACACGCAGATAATAAGAGTTCGCTTCGCCTTCAAATAGCTTTCAAGCGGTGGTAATAAAGCGAAGGCACACGTTAAGTAAATTATTTTCGAAATAGTAGAACTGAAAACAGATCCTATTAGAACGGCGAAAGGGAATTAAAACATATTTGCAAAAATTAAGTTTCCTAATGATACTAAACTCCTTTGGACGGATCATCGGACGGATCACGCAGTAAAATTTTAGCAACATGAAGCGATATAAAAAAAAGGTCGGTGCAGCAAAGCACGACAGTGGACGTCACGCTGTAAACTCGGCCCAGTGTTTTGGCCTCTACAAAGAAAAAGTGTTTGTGAGTGGGAGCAGCTGTAGGCTTCATAGATTTGAACTCCTGTCACTAAGTTCAGTTCACACCTTGTTTCGCCATACCTCAGTGGTTTTGTTGTTTCCAAAGATGGTAACTAAGAAGAAATGGAAGGTTATCAGTTCTTTGTGATGGAGTTCACACCTTGTCTTGCTGGCCTCAGTTTCGGTCGGAAGGTTAGCACTGAAAGATGACCGGTTGTACACAACTTACTATATAGGAGTTTCACTTGCACGAAGAGTGCATGGAGAAAATAATGTAATCATTACACAACTGAAATTAGATATTTGAAGAAACATCTTAATAAATTAATGATAACTATCATGCGAAGCAACTGCGCCTGTTTACACTCCAAGCAGAACTTTGTTTCGCTATTGAAATATTTGGGGCAAATATAGACATATATCGCAAATATATATAGACACGGAGCGTGAAAGTTTCCAAAAAAGGAAGACAAGTTGACAAAGCTAAATAAGATACTCCTCATCATTAAAACAACAAAAAACACATCAAATTGTTAAGACTCGGGCCACCTGATCTAAAACTGCATCACAATATGACACATTTTCAAGCGTTATAATATACCTACCTAAATCATTGACATAACAGGAAGAAGGAAGTTTACACAAGGCCTATCTATAGCAGCAGGATATTCGCTCTCGCATAACCCGGATATTGAGTTGCGGTAACCAACTCCTGACGTAAATACTAACCATTCATCCTGTAGTGTAGGAAAAACATACTTCAGTGCATATTCAAACTACATCTCGGGTTGGTAGGGGACAGATTATTGTCAGGTGCATAGATAGAATTGGTGTGACGAGTAGATTAGTTAGCGTGACGCATGGCAAGTAACGTTTAAATAACGCATGTGACTTTTCCATGCGGAACTTCCGCATGGCAAGTGACGTTTAAATATCTGCCTGTATAGGTAATATTTATGCATGACTGGTTACAAGTACATGCATGGGTTAACAAGTAGAATATAGACGTCTGTTTTGATAAATTTAGCAATATGAAGACGAATCGTTGAAATTCGTTAAAATACAATATAAAGATTACGACACAAGTATATAACGAACTCAGTGACGTATAACGAACTCAGTGACGTAATTACGAACTCAGTGACGTAATTACGAAAATAAAACCGTTGTGTTCAGCGCAACAAATGAAACGATGCTTATTTATTTACACATACAAAGGAAAGTTAGACAGGATGAGTCTCTGGACAGCTCAGGAACAAAAACGTCATTGATTTAGGAGTGAGGGTTCAATGAGGCTTCAGTGAGGGTTCTGTGAGGGCTCAATAAGAACGAGGGTTCAATAAGAGTGCAGTGAGGGTTCATTATGGGTCGCCAGGTGATCCATCTCCTTGTTAGGCTCATGGCATGATGCCTCACTCCATATATTTGCATAAAGCCTAAAGACGGAAGCACAGGCTGGCCATCACAGACACGAGCTATGGATAGGCTTCAGAAGCGTCGACTATAATACAAGATTTCTATGGGGTTGGGTCGAGGTCGAAAAGAATTTCCAAAGCGTTTACTGATGCTAAAAAAATGTACAAGGCGCTGATTCGAAAAAGATTTCCATGCAGATGAGGTAAAGTTAATCGTAATTTCCACGACATCGATTTCAGGTAAAATTCTATTTCCATTGAGTCCGATTGCATCAATTTTCAGTTGCACCGAAAAGTGAAGCTAGAGAAATATACAAAATTCGACGTTGAAAAAAATTAACAAACATAATTAAAATTGGCAAGCCACGTGAGACAGAATATCGTTTCAACACCCATCCATGTACATCGATCAATAAATCAAAAAACTTCATCTCTCAACGACAGAACTATTGTTAACGCACGCGAATACAACAATACAGAGCTGAGAGTACATTCATCGGAGTCCTCGTGTATTCACGTCATTAAAATACACAACACATCAAAGCTGTTCATGAAGTGCCCATTAAAACACAAGAAATTTCTCCCATGAGTGCTCATTATAACTCGTAGTTCATATAATTCAAAAAAATATATAACTCAGTGCTAACTGCAGTGAGTGACAGAGAGCGCATTTTCTCGTCGACGAAAACTTGAGGTCACGGACATACAGACGGACAGACAAAACGAGCACAATAGCGCCTTTTTTTCATAAATGAGAAAATGCGCTAAAAACGAGCATTATGAGTGAGATATAGAGGATGGAATGAAGAGTCTATGTTATTCGGCAGAAAATAAAACTGTTCATCGATATTTTTCACCCTTTGGCAAATGAATTATCGATTTGAAAGGATATTATAATATTTATAACAATGGATTGTTGTTATGAATTCAAATAAAAACCGTTTTATTTACTTGAAAAATACCCAATGCTTCAGTATAAAAGTTTCCAAATAGATTTTTAATCATATAACGAAAAGTGAAGTAAACACACCTAAACAACGATATACAATAAAAACTAAAAAACTAAAAACTTAAAAACTAAAAGCTGAAAAACTAAAAACTACAAGTGATTTACAACGATATACAATAAGTGAGTACCAACATTATATTTTTTCTATCGGGCCACATATATTTAATCATGAATATACAGAAAACGAAGAGGCTCCAAACTGCAATTTAAAGTCAGCACTCCCACAAAATAATAAAACAAATACTAATAATTTCCAATTTTGTAACTTTTCTCTTGACAATCCAACCTGAAAAAATTTTCATATCAGAGAGTAGGCGAAGAATCACAAAGCCAGTCTGGTTCATCAAACTGAATTATAATCAAAAGTTGAATTTGCAAACTCGTGCGCGTGGTCGCCACACACAGAGAAATATGTGAGATTTTGTCGGAATCTCACCAGTTAAGAAGGGCAAAAGGCGAATCAGTGCTACGTCCGCTCTCTGTTCGTGCCGTGTGTGTAAGAAAGTGTCACTACTTGGAAAAATATGAGCGACTGATTTTTGTTAGTGCAGAGGCTTTACGTAACGCGTGAGCAGCGTAACAATGCCGAGTATTAAGAGCAGTTTGTGCCGTGCGTGTAGGAAAGTGTCACTACTTGGATAATACGCCCCACCAATTTTTGTTAGTGCAGAGGCTTTGCGTAACGCGCAAGCAGCGTAACAATGCTGAGTATTGCAAGCAAACACGGCAAGAGAACAGGACGACAGCGCGCTTAGTGTTCGAAGAAAATACTGACAGAAGCTCCTATAGTTCTTGTATTGACATAAGCGGGCATTGCACAACTCCGGATGATTCGTTTGAGTGAGCGAGGAGACCTCTACGTGTCATTTTTTACATCTATAATCATTTTGTATTTTTTAGCAAAAAATTTCAAAATATAGAATAAATTTGCAACTTACTTCATAGAAATTTGAAACTTGTAACGAAAACTTGAAACGACGACGTTAAGTCAATAGAGGATATAAATCAATATTTTACATTAGTGAAATATATCTATATATTAGTGAAATCAATGTATTTTATAATAGTGAAAAGCAGGTTAAACGAATTAAAAGCGTACCTGCAGTTCAGAAGGAACCCTCGTCGCTATTGTCGACAGCAAGTAGCTGTTGTCGTTCATGAAGAACTTTAGCGACGATATTTAATCAAATAAGATATAACAAATAAAATTAGAGTTGTTCACAAAGAGTAATCATACCTGTAGTTCCGGAGGACCACCTTCATCTCGTATTAACAGTAAGTAACTGTTGCCGTCTATGACAATCTCTTTCTTGAAGCGGCCTCCTTCAGGACTTTCTTCTTGCATATATGACCCTGTCAAATACCTGTTAGGAGATTAAAGAACGGGATCAGTTGAAAATATGAATCAATTTAATAATTTATGCGATAAACAAACCTGTATCAGTTGAAAATATCGAGCAATTTACGCGCCTAATCGCAGATAAACAAACCTGTATCAGTTGGAAATATCAAACAATTTACGCGCTCAATCAGAGATAAATAAACAGGTATAAATTAAAGATACCTAGCTGAATGCATGCTAGAAGTTATAATACATGACTATAATAGATAGGTATGCATAATACAATGACTTTAGAGAATTGCAAAGCATTTAGACTGAAGACGTGCCTGCCAAAAGTTAATAATCATTTTTCGTAATAGCAGAGCCTATATAATATTCTTTTGCATCATCACTAGCGGATTGTAATCACACTTAAAAATTATATATTTATCAAATATGATATCTGTACATCATTATATAAAGATTGAAATCACAAGCTTCCATCGTTGTTATAATCACACTTAAAGATTATATATTTATCAAATATGATTTGTTTGATTAAAAATAATGCCAGTTTTATTGAGGACATCTTTTGAGTCGCAGGATTTACCTAACCTTCCATTTGGACAAATTTTAGGACTAATTGATCCTATTACTGTATCTCATATCAGAAAGCTTGAAAGATTAAACTCAAAAGATGTCCTCAATAAAACTAGCATTATTTTTAACCAAACATGTTTAAATTAAGGCTCTACCCTAAATATACAAATTTCAAATATGATATCTATATATTATTATATAAAAATTGAAATTCTACTAACCGATGAACGAGGGCTGACTTGCCGCTGGAGAGCGACCCCACGATGCCCAGTCTGAGGTCCGGAACTGATCTCGACAGCGTCCATTCTTGTGAATTAACGAATGAATCTGTCAAGCAATAGTACCACATTATTACTTTTACTTATTATTAGTAATTACTTTATGAGTAATTATTAAATTTAATTTTTTTGCAATTTAATTATTTTTCATTTTTTAATTACTTAATTGGTATTTATTTTTATTAGTAATTAGTAACACATTAAACATGAATGCTAAGACTAGCACTAAAATTCTGGTATATTCGGTAGGAATAAAGACTATTAATTAATAACTATTAATTTCAACGCGAGGCGATCCTCCACACGATCGTTTGTAAAGGAGATAGTAAATCCATCCTGGTAATCAACTCGATGATGAAAGCACATGATTAACCTTATAACTTTAGTATATATTATTGAAAATCTAAACCCATTACAAAACGGTAAAACTACATATAAATGCTCACACAAACATAAGTAAAAGACAATACGAATACCTTCCAAGCCTCTTACGTTAAAATAACGTCCATTAAACGTTGTTTCAATGAAATTAATTTGTAGTCAACGTAGTTTTAGCGTCCTTTGCTGGGAGGTTACCAGGTATATAAGCTTAATAGGAGGTTACCAGGTATATAAGTTAATAGGTTACCATGCCTTTAAGGTTACCAAGAGACCATCTAAAGACACATGCAAGAGAGGCGCCAAGTTAGGCCGCAGACGCCACTCAGTGCCGTACAAGGAGTGCCATAGTCCCAGCCTAAGCAGCTGCTCAGCTTCACATTAGAACACTAACTAAATAATTAGCACACATCTCGTGCTCATTGACCTAGAAACTCATCCAGAAATCAGAAAAATACATTAAATATAACATTAGTTCTTTCATAAGGTAAAGTGTTAGATAGTGTTCTAGATAGTAGTTGTTAGTAGTAGTAGTTAGTTAGTTGTAGTTAGTAGTAGTAGTAGTAGTTCTAGATAGTAGTAGTTGTCTAGATAGTAGTGTTCTAGATAGTGTTAGATAGTGTTAGATAGATAAAGTGATAGATAGTGTAGATAGTGTTAGTTAGATAGTGTTCCGCATGAGCGACTGTTACGTAAAGTGAATTCTTTTGGAATAGAAGGAAATGTACTCCAATGGATCAGGAATTTCCTAGTAGGCAGAAGACAACGTGTCAGCATTAACGGAACCGTATCAGACTGGGTAACTGTGCGTGGGGCCACAGCTATAAACTAAAAAAACTGCGGTTCAACTTATCCACGCGACAACATTTCTTCTCGCTTCGAGTCACTGACATGTGGAACAGCCTCCCTGAAGATATTGTTGACGCTCCGAGTATGAACGCGTTCAAGAACAGACTAGACAAGGCCATGCATGAGCATATGTTCAGTCTTAAAATGCCTCGTACCCTACGGAACAACTGATATCCGTCCGTAAGGCCAGTCTAGTCAAGCAAAGTACAAGAATCGGCGACAGGCCTATCCAGGCCTATTTATTTAATGCCGAAGATACTATACTATACTATACTATACTATCTCCTGGAGCAAAACTCAATTTTATGTATCACATAAATAAACGTGTTAATAACATATTACATATTTCCTATGTTAGCAGAATATGTTATTTCGCAGATACATCAGTATATACATGTATAATGTTTTCAATTAAAATCGATTTCCAGTAGCATAACTGCGAAACGTGAGCAGAGAACGAACGTAGCATTGCTACGACTTACGCCCGGGAAAACTGGGTCAGGATGACCAACATAAGGGTAAAAAGTGCATCAATATTGCGACAAAGTCATCTTCATTTTTTCTGAGTATGTATTTTACTGCAGCTCGCAGTATGAATGTTAAATGAAGCGCACAAGAGCGGTCGAGCGACTACACCCTCAAGTGAGTTAGGTACTGCGGCTACGCCCATGCAGGCACGTGTTAAATATTACCTCTACGTAAAGCACATTCATTATATCACCGAGTGTCCTAGTAAGAAATGTAAGCGATTATTCATTAACATGATTTCTAGATTGCAATTTTTCGATTCTTCCCTAGTCTCTGGTATTTTTCCATATTTGTTTGCGATATTACTAAGAGTTGAATTCGAAATTTATTCTTCCTCTTACATTTTTCGACGTCATGTATAGAACGTGTAATAAGAACGGCAACTCTAACATCACTCAAACTTCGGAGCGACCATCTATTGCCTTAATATAAAATGCGCAAGGACTAGCACGCACGAGCGCGATCAATACATGAATGAAGCAGCGATTGAATACGCGATCATGAGGGCGAAGCTTCGATCGTAAAATATAACACACAAGTCGAGCACGCGCTCAATGGCCGCTGAGCTTCCATTTACGGATGTATATGCGGGTACCCGCGCCTTCCCATAACCGAAACCAGCGCCGTACTTTCAAAAACAGTTTCGCTATCACGGCCCTTGCAGAGAAATCGTCAAGCGGAAGCTCACGGGACAAGGGTCATAGCTTTTAATAGATCTAGTGCTTCCGGTTTATACATTAGATACTCGTTAGATCTAAGCTGTATGTAAAAAATAATATTTTTAAAATAAATTCATCTCATATTTATTTCATACAGCGATCATATAAACTGCAGGCTGCAAAAATTATATACAATAAAAATGTGGGCTAGCTAAGGAATCAAATAGCGGAACGTGCGGGTTTGATTTGCATTCAATGAAATACAAATAAAAAAGAGATCCTCTTCATCCAGGACTCGACGGTTCCAATTTATGCTGATGCGGGAACAACAATGATACAAAACCAAATGACCAGGATACATGACCAAATTAATTATCATTGATATGGTTCGGAAAAATATATACAAATCAGAAGCCTGACAATATCTTTCCCTGAGTTTATACAACAATTATGAATTGAAGACTCTTCCATACACATTGACCAACTAATTTTTAACGTGAAATGAAAAATTATTCGAAAAAAATTTTTTCTTCAAAATTATAAGAAAGAAGTAAAAAGAGCTTATAAAATAAGCTTCAAATGACTTAATCGGTCACTTTTGATGCAATGCATTATTTGTTATTCAGCCGAAAGTACGGGCAGATTTCGCAAGTGCTGCCGTTGGACCACCAACTACGATCAACGAATTATTAAAAAATCAATAGTTTAAAGCAGGAGCATCCGCATGACTGATACCAACATATGTGCTCTCAAATAATAGAGTAAAAATGAGAAATTCCATGAAATTTCTAGTTCTGGAATGCGAAGAGAATGAGGACTTCCCGTGGCGCACTGAGCGCATCTTTCATCAAATCCCAATAGCGTAATAATTATAAGGCGTTTTCACTGGATTGAAAATTATAAAGCGTGTTCACTGAATTGGAGATGATGATATAAAGCTTCGAGAGCGACTCATCGTGGCAGGGGTTCTCTTCAATAAAGGGGCTTGGTATACCACAAACCATGATTTCTTCGCATACAAACAAATGCGGATATCCGACTGCTGAAATTCACTAAGATTTCCGGACGAAAATCATTTCGCGCTTGCCACAGCAGGTAAATCTTGAACTCAACGCTTTACGGAGAGAAGTTACAAAAAGCGATTCATCAGGCGGTAGATCAAATTTTTCAATACGTGCCAAATATGAACAGCAACATATGGTGCCAGAATTAAAATTTAGAAGGGACGTAAAGGAAAAACGACAAAATAAATAAACAAATTATCACAGAGCGGATTACCAAAAGCTTAAATTTAGCCTCGTTATTACGGTAGTAAATACCGTATTCCGGTAGATGTAGTGCAACACAATGTTCTACTGCATCATTCTGCAGAATATAATAGTACTAAAATGCTACAAAAGCACTACCATGTTTATTGTAGGGCATCATAACGAGCAGTATTGCAGTACTATAGCAGTACATCACAATTTTGTAGTACACTTTTCAGGACCGTATTACAAAATCAAACGAGCATTTTACGCCATGTACACACGCCTGTACACTAGGCTTTAACTTTCTTGGGGTTGTGGCAACAACAACAAAATAATATACGTTTAAAAATTACTTTTTAAAGACAACACTTCTAAAGAATCCAGTGTATCCAATGTTAAAGATGTACAATGAATTACTCATTTTATTTTCGAACATTAAAAAAATTAATTTATATTTTTTTAATATATAATTTTTTTCAAAATTATTTATTCTGTCAATTGATTCATGCATGCATTGCCTCCGACTTCGCACAAGTGTGCAAAATTTCAGATCAATTGGATAGGTAAAAGTGTGTCAAATATCAGTTATAAAATTTGTAGCTGACAAAATTATTTTTTCAATTTTTCTAATATTGAAAAAAAAAATTAATTTTTAAAATCATTTATTTTGTCATTTGATTCTTGTATTGTCTCCAACTTTACGCAAGTGTGCAAAATTTCAGATCGATAGGAAAAGTAGAAGTGTATTAAATTTCGATTATAAGATTTGTAGCAGACAGACAGACAGACAGACAAACAGACAGACAAACAGATAAACAAGAAGTGAAGTTAAAGAGAAGTATTGTAAAAAAGGACTCCTTCGTGACAGAAAATTTTTAGACGCCAACAGAGGAAATTTCAAAGAAAACGACCGCAAATTTGGCCCGCACGACCGACCTTTTCACGAGAAGCTCTTGTTGCTTTTTAGTACGTGCCGGTGATTTTTAGACTCTAAAACACAACATTTTAAATTACGTGACTAAGACTTTATACTTTATAGTCACGACTCTACAGTATTACGTCCAGTTTTATAGAATTTATTGAACAGATACTTCGTTCAGGGACATATTAAATAACACTTCAACAGAAAAAATTATAGATCCTCTGGATCCCGCGCCGGTGTCTTCAGTACCTCATTAAAAACGAAAATGAACAAATCAAAAAAACACGATTCTGTGAAGCTAGTGTAATGAATTCTTGAGCTGCAGAAAATTTCACGGCACACTGGGGTTCGAACCCGTGAAAGGGACGCAGCAATGTTTGGTGAATTAGTGCACAGTTTTTGCGAGCAATGTTTTAATGTTGCTGCGTCGATCGCAACGAAGCTCAAGAAAAACCTTCACGCG